AAAATGAATTACAATATATATATATATATATATATATATATATATATATATATACTGTATATATATATCATTAATGTAAAATGTATTACTTTTTTCATAAGGTGTACCTTAATTTTATTGTATTTGTAATATTTTGTTTGAAATACCAGTAATAATAATAATAATAATAATAATAATAAAACTGTTATAAAATTCAATAAAAAAAAACCCTGCTAGCATGACAGCACAGAGCTGATTCTTTTAATTTAATGCTTGTTTAAAGATCTATCCTGAAATCGCTCCGTATGAGTCTAATGTCTCTGTATTCTAAAGCATTAATACAGAAATGGACATGATCTTCCAGCCTAACAGAGACTCTTTATTGCACCCCAGCTGAACTTAGTGTCAGCAGAGTGTTTGTGTCTGTATGTGTGATAGGTTGAAAATAGCTGTGCGTGGTGATTGATAGCATAATGTAAGATTTGGTATACTCAAAGTGTATATCTTAATAACCTTTTCCACAGGGTTGAGTTTAACACAACTGATGGCAAGCGGATAACGTTCACTTTACAGTTTGGAGTGCAGCTTTGATGTCAGATGATCTGAAGCAATGCGGAAATTCAGAAAGACAGCAAGCCTTTATATTCTGAACGTTTGGAGTTATCACAGAGAAGAGAACAGCACTACAGACATGTAATAAGAACATTCATATCTCTATACGAACAACAAAATCTCACATGGCTACACATTTTCATATAGAACTACATACCTTTGAAACCGAGCTATATTCAGTGCACAATCACAAATGAAGGCTGTTTGTGATAAGTATGCCACAACAATCAACAATCAAGCTGAAACAGCAAGCACAATAATGCATGCCGTAATAATTCGGTAACATCAGCCCCAGGCCTCAGTGGCATCAGTTAGAGTCACTGTAACTTGATGCTATAGTGTGTCAACAACTGGATGTGATGTAACCAAATGTAAATCTTAAAATGCCCCCAGCACATAATAAATAGCCTAATAATCAATAATCATTGTGCTGTTTAAACCAACAATCCCCAGATGCTGTTAAAAGCAACACTCTCTTTTCCCAAAAAGCCACAGATCATTTCAGCGCAATTTGGATTCTCTTTGGCCGCTTGCATACTGTTTTCCACAAATATTTTACAATACAATGCAGATTTATATCTTGCCTTGTTTTTCCATAATTATCTTCACATCTCAAGCTTTTATAAGAAAGCTCATTTCCCCATTTCTGGCAGAAATTAAATGCGTTTCATTGAGAAAAAAGCAGCAAGAGGAGATTCGGGGTGTAGTAAAAGAGAATTACTGCCGCACAATTAGAATACGGCTCATAATTAGAATAGGAATTTTGCCACTGCCAAATTATCAGAATTATTTGCAGCTGAGAGCAGAGGGGAGATGGGCGCTGGGGTACTTTAACCTAATCGAAAGCAGGAAAAAAAAATGTGTTCCACTTAATTAGCGGATCTCGTTTGACTAATAGCTAACCGCTCCTTTTTTTAATGCAGTGAAGTTCCTACATATAAGAAAAGTGCTCGAGTCTCTATAAAAACTGAAACATGGAGTATATGAATGTTTCACACACTGATTCACCCCTCCAGTGTTCTGGCTCTTAGGTCCAAACACACTTCCACACCCCATGTACGCAAGGAAGCCGAGTTCAAGCCAGCGCAACATGTTTGTGTTTATAGGCCGGTTGCGTCTGTCGGTAGGGAATCTCACATGGTAATGCCCAGACCCACTGAGTCTAATAAACACAGTGGAAACATGAA